GTGCTTTTATATCAATTTTAAGTTGTCAACGTTATATATTATCGCTATAATAGTCTTGGGAGTCAAAAACAATTGATTTATAGTTTTATTAAATGTCTTTAAATTTGTAGGAGCGGTACGCTATCTGTTTTTTTGTATGAAGCTTGCTTTTCCTCGGTTACCGTACCTTTTCCCTGTATTCTGTATGGTATACAGTATGGTATATTGTTCGGAGTCTTTGAATAAAGTATGCTAAAACGAGTAGTATTTTAAAATGAAATTAATTCTTACGGTATACAGTACCTCATGAGTATTCAATCCGTGTACACCATATACACCAATGTTCTAAAAATATACAATTAAAACAATATATTTCATTATTTAACGAATTGAAGATCATAACGTTAAATAATTCAATTAAATGAATCTATTTACCACAGATATACATATATATATATGTATATATATATATATATATATATATATGTGTGTGTGTGTGTGGATATATATATATATATATATATATATATATATATATATATATATATAAAATTGTTATGAATTATGTTATTAACATGTTGCCGTGGAGTATTTTTTTAGTTTCGCAAACGAAATGTGGATTTAATGTGTAAAATAAGTTATATAATATTATCAAGTTGTGGTAAGACATGTCTAAAATACTGAAATAATACAGTAATAAAAGCAAACATAGACATACTAATTTCTATAATGATTACAGGTATACTTTAACTATAATGTGGACTACAGTACTTATAAATATTAACGTGCATTTAATACAAAATTCACGAAGAAAATAAAATTGGTATTACTTTTGGCTATAGAAAAATGTGTAAAATATCGGAATTTAGATACATGCCATCTTCATCCTCTCATTTAATAGCATCATTGTCAGTACGCTATTTATACTAGGTCAACATGTGCAAAATTATGGCATAAAGAACAACATAGACCTTTTGGACTACTATCCATAAGTAAACAGCTAACTATATGAAATATCTCTCATAAGCATACTGTAGCACTTATAGGCCTATATAAATGTACAGTTTTTCGCTTTGAAACATAATTTACAACAAATAAATCAATAAATTAAAAATATTGCACCCCCATTCCACCTCAAACAGTAGAGAAAACACGATGACAGAATCGCTTTGAGAAAACACGTTTATTATGCCTTTGACTTCATACTATACTGTTTAACTATAAGATGTGCTAGGCGTGTGCGTTAAAGTCTTAAACATTTCGTTGCAAATAATATCCGTAAAACGCGAAATCTTCATGAAGTAACACATCTACTTTGCTCAAACTCTTGGTTTTCTTCATAGGCTAGCTACCAACGATGCGTAGCCCTATCATATGAGCGTTTGATAAATTGTTGTGGTTAGTATCTGTGTTAAAAATTACCTATTTTTTGTGAACTTACAACAAGAATACATTGACCATAAAGTAAGTAGAGTTTTTATTCTTGCAGATTAGGCCTACCGTTTTGTATTATACAATTTTTTTTATAATTTTTTCTTGAATACAAAATATAGTGATATATTTAGCTTACTTCGGAATTGAAAGGATGACAACCAGTAGGCCTATGACGATTGTCAAAGAAGACACAATGACATAGAAGAGAGGCTCTTCAATACGGTACCAATATATTGAGACAAAATGAATTGGCCTAACCACGGTCTAGAGGTATGTATTTCTGTTTTATCTGATTGAATGTAGTAATATAGTTTTCGTCCCTTTGCTTACCGGTATTGGTATTAATTAATTTTATTTCAACACTCCGGTTTTGTGAATTTCTATTAAACTTTGATAGTTTGACTAAAAAAGTCTTTCAAATTAAAAACAATACAAAGCAATAGCATGAGTGTGACTTATAACAGAATACCAAGTCATAATATCAAGCGATGACAATAACTGTAATGTTAGCAATAGTGACAGTTATGATAATGATAGGCCTATAGTAATAATACAAATGATGATGATGATGATGGTGATGCCGAAGAAGATGGTGATGATGATGATTTGCATATGATGTGGATGATAATGATGATAATAATAATTTCTTTTGACAGCATGCCATTCGATTGTTTATAAATTTAGTTAATGCGACATTATTACACTCCATTCTCAAGGGCACTTGCCTAATATGGGTTTCTTAAACCCATTAAAATTTTACTTACTGTTCAGTATCTATTGAATTATTAAATTAAATTAATGATTACCGCATTTTATATTGTAATCTGAAAATTAATGAAGCATTAAAATAAATTGCATTGCTATCGTGTTGGAAACGTGTTGGAAAAATTAGAGATGAATTTCAACGTCCTTAGGAAAATATCATTACGGAATATGATTCGAACCGATAAAATCGATACTTTCTTCTCGCACGTGCGCTGATAATACTAAGTCTCATGACCACAATGAAAATAATGAAATTATGTCATCTCGGCATATTGAGTGGTCAAATGTTTTCAAAGTTTCAATGATATATCGCCGTATATTGCCATGAAGATGTTCCAACGGTGTCGTACAGATTTTACACATGTGCACTACTGAAGCTCTTCAATTTCTCTGCTACTCATCTTCCTTCTCCCAAAAGGTTGCTTTATTTCAGAATATTACACATGTGTTCATGTAATCTCGATTCAGATAATTCCGAAGCGTCGTTAAACAGACCAAAACTTCCATAAAAACTCTAACTTTTACGACTTTCTGGCGATTACGTAACCGTTGTGCGTTAAATTCATTTTCTTTTACGAGCCCTGTGCTGCTACTCTCAAAACAGTTGGCATTTCGCCTAAAATCTCGACAGGGGTAGCCGCTGACATGATTCCAGTTGTAGTGGAAAAAAAATTCACAGCGTCTATGCATATTACCAAATTCATCATCTGTTACTTGCACTTGTTTTTAATCATCGTTTTTACGATTTTGGCCTTGGTCAGACGGTATAGCAAATACTTGCTACGGTTAAATATACCGCATTTTCTGTTGAGTTTATAAAATGTCTCGCGTTGGTCTGTTAAGTTGTCTGCTTTTCATTTTCCCATTTGAATTGGCGCAATTAAAATTACAAAGTACGGGCACACCATGTTTGAAATTTAATCTAAATTGACGGAATTTGTGTAGGTATATCAATGTATATAGACCGGAAAGAATTAGGCCCATGTTCTACTATTTAAGGATGTTCTTAGCAAGGAGGCAGTTAAAAAGATTGACTCATAATCATATTTAACAACCATTAAAAACAAATTTACATTGAAATAAAGTATTATCTGGCTAGATTATATTTTTATTTGTATTATATATTTCATTGAGCTGCTATATGCGGAGAACGATGCTAAAGAAGACAATAGTTATCATGTACCATAACTTATTGAATGATAATATCTAAAATAATTGTTAACATTTCAAACGAATTTAAACAAGTAATCGCTTGTAATGACTTAATTGAATCATTAAATTATAATATTCGTTCAGTAGTAAAATGATAACTAAAGAGAAGTTGGTTGAGCACGAAAAAACAACAGATTGTAATTTTGTATAAAATATTTATATTCTTTACACTTAAATATAGGCATGAGAATGCATGTACACTAGACTAAATCCTTCCAAAAACAACAGAAACCAATAATGTAAATATAACGTGGTGAGGAAAAAAAATAACATTGATGATGTTAGGCATATATAATACGGGTATTTATTTATCAACAATAATCATTCGTACAAAAAATAAATAGTATAATACACAATAGGCCTATAGCATTTTAAACTAGAATATGAATGCAAATTTGATTTAATATTAAAACAATGTGATTACAAATAATACGCACGTGAAAACACAGCTGCTACGCGCGACATGACAAAAACAATCATTTGATATAGAGTGCTCATTTTATACTTATAGGAAGAATGAAATCGTGTTTATAAGCCAACCAAAAACGTAAAATTTGATTAAAAAGTTATTTAAATTGAATCCATTATAGTGTGACTAAACAATATTCAAATAAGTTATGATATGAATCTCAAATCATATCTGTGCTTATAATTGGTAGGCCTACTAGGTTTGCATATGAAAGTTATTTCTATTAGAGCATATGTATATATTTAAATATAACATAGGCCTACATGTGTTAGCCTATTAAAAGATATGCCTGTGGTAGATGGAATCGAACAAAATACGAATACTCTTAAAATACCAGGCCTAATAATTGAATTTAGTTTTACGTGATATTCATGTACGATAAAAATAAGATAAAGAAAAATGTACACAGAGAAGCCTGGTTATCGATGAGAGATTGTATATTTCCTTTGCGTGTGTTTATTCGTCTTTTCAATGCAGAAGAGGTTCAAAGAGAAGGTTTTAAATCCAATCATACCCAAATACAGTATTGGCAATAGCATTTATACGCTTAATTTGCGTTGACATAAAATTGTTAAGATTAAGATACCTGTACATCCCTAAAGGCATACACATACATTGGATACTGTGAAATTGTTTTAAATACCGGCATTCTTCTCGCATGTTCTCCGTATGATCGTTTCATTCCATGAAAAGAATGAGATGAACGCTTAGCACACAGGGTTTAGCATATTGAATGAATAATTCAATTTAAGTTCGATTTTACTCATTAAACAACTTATCTTGGATATAACAAACAAGAGTCATACATTTAGTTTAATATGGCATTTTATATCGACCTTCTTCAAGCTGAATTCCCTCCTTTTTCGTTGTATTCTATGTTCCATGAGAATAATGGACATTCAAAAGCAAAAAGGTTGGTGATAGAACACTTTGAATTATTAATTGCCAAGAGTCAAAGGGACCTAACCTTTTTAACCAGGGTTGTAATCAAAACCATACCAGCCCGGGTTCATTGGTTGTATATCACTTCTCCACTAATTCGCTGCTTAATGCGCTTATAATTGGAGTATACCTATCGTAAATAATATCTGAATTCTTTTATATTATTTGTCGTTTATTAATATGATATAATACAGAACTAGACATATAACCATGGCGATACTGCCTTGAAAATTTCTAAATTATTGTGTGATTTTTAGTTTATAAAGGATTTTTAGTAAGCAGGATTAAAGGTCTTGGGTATCTTAATTAAAATACAAAGGCTAATACGGTACTAATTAATACAGACACCATGCAAATGCACATAGGCGTATGGAGTTATCCTGGAGTCAACATACCTACTACACACATAGGTTTTCACACCCTTATTTAATTCCCCAGTTGATTAATTTGAAAATTAATAATGGCAGGTGATGGTTGGGCTATAACATAAGCAGACATGGGCTTGTTTCAATATTAAGTTTTATGTTTCTTTTTCAAATATAAATCTAAATACATAGGCTTATCAATTGATTTTAGCTTGAATATTTATTGTACGTTGTCTTAATATTTGAACATAGTATATAGATGAATCGTTTAACCATGTTTTTAACTGTAATCTAGACTCTATTATTACTTTAATACCCATAAGGTTTAATCTTTTACATAAAAATTATCTGTTTTGTTAACAACTATGCCTCTATAAATATGGTTTTGTTGACTTCCAACTTTATAAAAAAAAAAATTGGCAGAAAATCTTATTAGATTACCGTATCTCCTTTGGTATAAACTTATATCTACTGAATAGATGGGGCTGATACTATTTTTGTTTTTTCATTCATTAACTTTTTAGATTTCCGATTTAAATATTTAGGCCTATTTATTTATTTATTGGTCAAACACAAGTAATAATATAAACCATTATTCGAAACTTTGGTTGATTATACATGCCTAACATTTTTACATTGTCTAAAATCTGTCACTAAAATTTAAAAGAACATCAAGATACTTCACTGAAAAAAACCATTGATAAAATGTTAAAATGTAGTTAAAGGCATGTTAAAATATTAAAACATTAAGAGGAGTTAAAAAATTAAAAGCAGCATTTGGCTGAAGTCTTTTTAAAATATCAATAAAATTAACTTCTTTCACATTTTATTAAATTGTCATGGCATGTTAAAATATTAAAATAGGCCTATCGGTAATTTTTATAGGCCTATATTTTATTTTAAAATCACTTAAAATCATTATTACAAAAGGTAAATAGACCTACTACACATAGGTTATTAAGATACCGGTAAATCTGTATAGATATGCTTTAAAGTGTATGATTCAGGATTCCCAATCTTACAAACATTTTTGTAGCTATAATATAAAAAATATTCAGAAATAATATTTACGGTACTGATTCAATGCTGGGTGTTTAATGGTTATGATTTATAGAAATTTATTAAAATTTAGAGCTGTTGGTTACAACTTATCTATAAGATAAGTTTTATCAAATAAAATAATACCGTAACTATAATAAAACCAGGCCTACTAATCTTTAGCCTATTATTCAGTTCATGAGGTATCTTTTTGTATTAATTAACGGTATCCTGCGTTTGTGATCTTTATAGAAATTTCCGTATAGGGCCTACATTTCATTTAGTAAGTATAGATCAAGATGATATTTAAATCAGTTCGCTTGTCGGCATTTGGTTCTTTGTGCTTCGGCCTTACAAACGAATTTTTCCTTGTAAGACCTTGTTGTACCTTCATTTACCTCACTGGGATGGTGCACCTCAAAGGAACAAACACACCTTGCCGGTCATTTCCCGTCAAATTCGAACAAATTTTATGAGCT